ACCCATGATGTTTCCTCTTAGGAATTTTCTATCCTTCTTTCTCCACCCTTCTACATGGCTATAATTTCCCACTTGCCCATGTTATATTAAGAGTTGAACACAATATCTTCCACTGCAAGACCCCATTGCCATGGTCCCTAAACCTATGGAGATGGTGCTGACTAAAATCTGGCCTACCGTGCTTTAAGTGTCAGTGAATAATTTTTTCTTTAGCAGGACCAACCAATCAGCCAACCACCAACCCACCAACCAACCAACCAATTAAAAGTCAGAACTCATTTTATCATTTGGGATCATAGCTCACCCTGGGGTGAATGATTTTCTTTTTTTTAACCATCTTTGTATTAGTCCATTTTGATGCTGCTGATAAAGACATACACAAGACTGGGTTAATTAAGAAGAAAAGAGCTTAATGGACTCACAATTCCACTTGGCTTGGGAGGCCTCACAAGCATGCAAGTACTAAAGAACTGTGTCTGCAATTAAAATGCAAAAGACCAGGCACAGTGGCTCATGCTTGTAATCCCAGTGCTTTGGGAAACTGAAGTGGGAGGATTCACAAGCATGGTGAAAGGTGAAAGGCATGTCTTACATGGCAGCAGACAAGAGAAAATGAGAGCCAAGTGAAAGAGGAAATCCCTTATAAAATCATCAGATCTCGTGAGACATATTCACTACCAAGGGAACAGTATGGGGGAAACTGTACCATGATTCAGTTATCTCCCACCAGTCCCCTCCCCACAACATGTGGGAATTATGGGAGCTACAATTCAAGGTGAGATATATGTGAGGACAAAACCAAACCATATCATTCCTCCCCTGCCCCCTCTCATATCTCATGTCCTCACATTTCAAAACCAATCATGCCTTCCCAACAGTTCCCCAAAGTCTTAACTCATTTCAGCATTAACTCAAAAGTCCACAGTCCAAAGCCTCATCTAAGACAAGGCAAGTACCTTTCATCCATGGGCCTTAAAATCAAAAGCAAGTTAGTTACTTCCTAGCTACAGTGGGGGTATAGGCATTGGGTAAATACAGCTATTCCAAATGGGAGAAATTGGCTAAAGCAAAGGGGCTACAGGCTGCATGCAAGTCTGAAATTTGGTGGGGCAGTCAAATCTTAAAACTCCAAATGGTCTCCTTTGACTACATGTTCACATCCAGGTCATTCTGATGCAAGAGATAGGTTCCTGTGGTCTTGGGCAGCTCCACCCCTTTGGCTTTGCAGGGTACAGCCTCCCCCCAGGCTGCTTTCACAGGCTGACATTGAGTTCCTGTGGTTTTTCCGGGTGCACTGTGCAAGCTGTGAGTGGACCTACCATTCTAGAGTCTGGAGGATGGTGGCCCTCTTCTCATGGCTCCACTAGGCAGTAACCCAGTGGGGACTCTTTGTGGGGGCTTCAACCCCACATTTCTCTTCTGCACTGGCCTAGGGGAGGTTCTCCATAAGGACCCTTCCCCTGCAGCAAACTTCTGTCTGGACATCCAGGCATTTCCATACATCCTCTGAAATCTAGGTGGTGGTTTCCAAACCTCAGTTCTCAACTTCTGTGCACCTGCAGGCTCAATGCCACATGGAAGCTGCCAAGGCTTGGGGCTTGCACCCTCTGAAGCCATGGCCTGAGCTCTACATTGGCTTCTTTCAGCCATGGCCAGAGTGGCTGGGATACAGGGCACCAAGTCCTCAGGTACACACAGCAGTGAAGGCCCTAGGCCCAGCCCATGGAACCATCTTTTCCTCCTAGGCCTCTGGGCTTGTGATGGGAGGGGCTTCCAGGAAGGTCTCTGTCATGGCCTGGAGATATTTTCCCCATTGTCTCGGTGATTAACATTTGGCTCCTTGTCACTTATGCAAATTTCTGTAGCTGGTTTCAAATTCTCCTTAGAAAATGGGTTTTTCTTTTCTATTGCCTTGTCGGGCTGCAAATTTTCTGAACTTTTCTGCTCTGTTTCCCTTTTAAAATGGAATGCTTTAAACAGCACCCAAGTCACCTCTTGAATGCTTTGCTGCTTAGAAATTTATTTTGCTAGATACCCTAAATCATCTCCATCAAGTTCAAAGTTCCACAAATCTCTAGGGTGTGGACAAAATGCCACCACTTTCTTTCCTAAAACATAGCAAGAGTCACCTTTACTCCAGTTCCCAACAAGTTTCTCATCTCCACCTGAGACCACCTCAGCATGGATTTGATTGTCCATATTATTATAAGCACTTTGGTCAAAGCCATTCAACAAGTCTCTAGGAAGTTCCAAACTTTTCCACATTTTCTTGTCTTCTTCTGAGCCCTCCAAACTGTTCCAACCTCTGCCTGTTACCCAGTTCCAAAGTAACTTCCACATTTTTGGGTGTCTTTATGATAGCGCCCCACTCTACCCATACCAATTTACTTTATTAGTCTATTTTCACAGTGCTGATAATGACATACCCAAGACTGGGTAAATTATAAAGGAAAAGAGGTTTAATGGACTCAGTTCCACGTGGCTGAGGAGGCCTCACAATCATGGCAGAAGGTGAAAAGGTATGTCTTACCTGGTGACAGGCAAGAGAGAATGAGAGGCAAGTGAAAGGGGAAACCCCTTATAAAATCATCCGATCTTATTCACTATTATGAGAACAGTATGGGGAAAACCGCCTCAATGATTCAATGATCTCCCACGGGGTCCCTCCCACAACATGTGGGAATTACGGGAACTATAATTCAAGATGAAATTTGGGTAGGGACACAGCCAAACCATATCAACATTACTTCTTTATACAACAAAATTATTTTCAGTGTTAATCATGAATAGAGACAAATAATAATAACAGTAAAGAAATGTAGTCAGTGAAACTTGTATACAACTTTTTGTATAGACTCATGTCAGTAAAAAAATCAGAATGACAATTTTAATAAAACTAAAATGTCTTCAAAAAGTATAAGTCAGACAATTACTAAATCATACCACTGGTGTAATGTTTTATTTTCTTGATTCATTCTTAAATTTTAAAACAAATAACACTTAGAAAAGAGTAAATTTTGTTTTTAAAGTTATTATTCAAAGTCAGTAAACTTCCTGTATGAGGACAACTTTGTACTTACTAAACAAAGGTGTGTACGTTGCTGTTCACACTCTTAAATTTTACTGTTTTAAATTCTGGATACAACTGAAAACCCCAAGTCATTTCAGAGAATGAGAAAATTGAACAAACTCATGTGTTCTGCTTCTTTTCCTTTCCAACTATTGTGCCACCATCATCTATGCCAAATCTACTGTTTAAACAGCAATATCCAAATATTGCAGGGTTGGAGACACAGGCTATACCTGCAGTGAGCTTTGTTATGAACTTAACCTTGGAAAGAAGGAGGCAGAACTACATCTGCCTGCTGGAATTGTAGAGGTAGACTCTATGCCTGGGGTTTCTGAATTAATTTCCATACACAGGTGAATAAGACATGAAACCAAACAACAAAAAGTTTACAATCTAGTGGAGATACAGATCACTTTTATTTATTCACATAATAAAAAGGTGCTTATTTGAAGTTCACATGCATATAGTTAAAACTCGGTAGTAACCTGGCTATTATTTAGAACTTAGGCCAATAGGAGTTTTTCTTTTCTTTTCACTTTTCTTTTCTTTTTTTGCTTTTCTTTTCTTTTTTCTTTTCAGGGAGCAGTATTTTAACACTGACATTGTTTGGAATTGCCAGTGCATGGTAATAATAAAAAGCAGTCAGTTAAGACCAGCCTGGGCAACATAGCAAGACCCAATTAAAAAAAAAATATCCTGGCCGGGCGCAGTGGCTCAAGCCTGTAATCCCAGCACTTTGGGAGGCCGAGACGGGCGGATCACGAGGTCAGGAGATCGAGACCATCCTGGACTAACACGGTGAAACCCCATCTCTACTAAAAAACAAATACAAAAAACTAGCCGGGCGTGGTGGCGGCCGCCTGTAGTCCCAGCTACTCGGGAGGCTGAGGCAGGAGAATGGCGTCAACCCGGGAGGCGGAGCTTGCAGTGAGCTGAGATCCGGCCACTGCACTCCAGCCTGAAGGGGCAGAGCGAGACTCCGTCTCAAAAAAAAAAAAAAAAAAAAAATCCTATGAAATCCAACAACAAGCAGTCAGAATTTTAGGTTGGCTTCATTTATTCCTCTTATTGCCTGCTCCCAGGGTGAACTGCTCCTACTACCCTCAGCTATGGAAATGCCACTATTTGGGACTAAAAAAGGGGTCAAAGTTGAAAATCTGTGATTTGTCGCAGTCATTTATCCATGCATTTTTTAACTCCCTCTAGAAGTTCTCAAGGGCACTTGCTGTGTGCCAGGCACTGTATTAGGTACTAGGAGTAAATACTGCATGAGACTGAACCCCAAAAAATTAACAATTAAGTGAGAGGTATAGATAAGAAATTGCTGAGTAAATACATAACAACAGGGCTGCAACTGGGGCAAATATGGGAAGTGTGGGAAAAGAACACCTCACTTGGTTTAGGGCTTCCCAAAAGGGTGGCATTGAAGCCAAGACCCAATTACCTCCATGCCTGGGAGCCATGCCCATGCTAACATTATTGACAGTCACCCTGTCTCCACCTTTCTGCTTTTACCAGGACACAACTTGGGTTCCCAAAAGGCCACCATCATGCTTTCTGTTTCCTATATGACCTACCACTAGAACTATTAATCAGGTTTTGGTCTTCTGACATCTCCTCTGTGCACTTCCATTTTATTCCCACCCACCCGTGAGGGTACTCAGGCCATGTTTCCCCAGGGCTGGCTGCACCAGGGTTGCCCTCAAAGTGTAGTGTTCCTTCTGATAGTGACCAGGCAGAACTCCAGGATTGAGCCCAGGCTGGAGGTGCCTGAATGGTCAGGACAGATGCCAGAAATTTTGTTATTAATATAGATATAGTCTAATATTTGGACTTATATTCAAGGTAGTATGATATTATAGACTGGGAGACTAGGACACACTTTCCAGAATAATGGGGATTGAAACAATCCTTTTGTATTCAAGTCATATGTTTTACTTAGTTTATTAAGCTATCTTATATCTTACTTCAGAAAGAATAGTTGGGAAAATGGGCATTAGACATGATCCCTTTTTAAAAATGAAGTAGTGACATACTGTTAATCATCACAGAGATCGTTTGTACTACATCCTATACATTCACAATATGCTTTCAGAGATTCTTCTGGCTGGGACTGAAGGATTGAAGATAGTGTTTGCACTCTTGCCATCCACCTTTTAATTGTGTTTATATCTTGCTCAGAGTTCCATGCAGAAGTTTATGGAGGTTCCTTCCATCTTTTTTCTATAGATTTCATCAAACCTCTCATTCTGGGCAACAGTGAAGTGGTTTTTCCAATCCCCCACAGTTCCTAGAAAAAGGAAGCCAAGACAGGAGTGTCACTCTCTGATTGAAAGATGTGGTGTCCCTGAGTAAAGTGGTGTAGTGCCCATACTGAATCTGGCCTGTCCTCGTACCTGACTCACCCAACTTCCCCCTTCAGTGGACACCTGTCCGTGAGCAGCTCTTCAATAAGAAGCAGTCCTAGGGGACTCTGTGCAGGGGATGGACTTCTAAGTCAGCTGGACAACTGACCCAAGGCAGCTAGTGGCCTGCATGACCTAGCCCCACCTGTAGTGTATTTACCCAATGGATTACTACATAGACATAAAAGAAGGATGAACTATAGACACACAACCACATGGAGGAATCTCAAAACATTATGTTGAGCAAAAGACACCGGACACAAGAAAGTAAATACTGTGAGATTCCATTTATGTGAAGTCCAGCAACAGGCAAAATCAATCTAGAGTAATAGAAATAGGAAAAATGGTTGTCTCCGGAGGTAGACATTGACTGAAAAGGGGCACAAGAGGGAACTTTCTGGGGTGATGAAAATGTTTCATATCTTGATTGGGGTGCTGGTAGTGTGGGTGTATACATTTATCAAAATGGGTTGAACTGTATACTTAAGATCTGTGCATTTTTGGTATTTTGATTCTATCTCAATAAAAAACAATTTTGGAAAAATATGAATGAGATACTATTTTTCACCAAACAACAACTTAAACTAATTTTAAACAGGGGAAATACTATTTTCCTCACCAATGCCTCTTCCAGAAAATTATGCAACAGAAATAAAAGCATCAGGAAATAATAATTTATGCACAAAAATATTTACTTTAACATTATGCATAAAAACAAACATTGAAAACAACAATAATTATAGTGTCTATCATTAAGGAAATAGTTGGATGAATTATGACATATCTATCCTTAGCTTTGTATAACATTGGACCAAAAAATCAATGAGGTGTATGAGTCTATCTGCCTTGCCCTGGAGGGGTTTCTCATATCCTGATAAGTAAAGGTATAAAATATGACCCCATTCTGTATTTTAGGGGGCAAGCTTTCATTATGGTTACATATCTTTGTGTCTGTATGAGTCTGAAGAAGTAGGGTGTATAGAAAGATGGTTATGTATGAGCCTGAAGAAGGGCACCTTGACAAATCATTACCACTGATTATCTAAAGAGAAAAGGGGTAGAATTTTTTTTCGTTTGTTTGGTTTGGTATGGAACACTGTTGTAGATTGGAAAATGCAACAACATAAATTCAAGCACATGCAAAATCAAAGAGGAAGAAGAAAAGATGTTTCAAAGTGGTGTGTATACCATGATTTCACTGTTGTGAATAAAAAATGTGTACATTATAAATGAGAGAGAAAGGGACTTCCATACTGTTGGTAGTTGCTTCTTGGAGGTGGAGTTTTGGTGGAGAGACTTTTAAAAAATATAATTTTATATTGATTTTATTTATTTATTTATTGAGACAGGTCTCGCTCTGTTGCCAGGCTGGAGTATAGTGGCATGATCTTGGCTCACTGCAACCTCTGCCTCCTGGGTTCAAGTGATTCTCCTGCCTGAGCCTCCTGAACAGCTGGGACTACAGGCATGCACCACCATGCCCAGCTAACTTTTAAATTTTTAGTAGAGACAGGGTTTCACCATGTTGGCCAGGATGGTCTCGATCTCTTGACCTCATGATCCGCCTGCCTGGGCCTTCCAAAGTGCTGGAATTATAGGCATGAGCCACCATGCCCAGCCAATTTAATTTAATTTTTAAGAAGAGCTGGTGTCTTGCTCTGTCACCCAGGCTGCAGTACAGTGGCAAGGTCCTAGCTCACTGCATTCTCAAACTCCTGAGCTCAAGTGATCCTCCCATCTCAGCCTCCTGAGAAGCTGGGAATACAGGGATGCATCACCACACCCAGCTAATTAATTTTTTTTTGTAGAGATGGGGTCTTGCTGTGTTGTCCAGGCTACTTTCGAACTCCTAGCCTCAAGCAATCCTCATGCCTCAGCCTTCCAAGATGTGGGATTATGGGCATGAATCAATCTACCCAGCCCAATTTAATATTTAACAATGACATGTTTTGCTTTTTAAATTAGAAAGTGATAAAGTTTTTTTCTTAAAAAATATTAGATGGGCCAGTTAGAATTCCTTCTTTGGGAATTGGAACTAAGAAATACTGAGGATGAGGCAGTTCTCAAGAGTAGTTGTTGAAACTCATGAAGTAGAGCAGGTTTGGGCAAGGGTCAAGACCAAGTTATGAGCAGAAACTGAGTCATCAGAAGTTATAAAGAGGGAGAAAGTTGTGATGGGTGGAGAGACGGGAAGCTGGTCAGCAGAGGAAGCCATGCCTAATAGATACGTGAAAAGCAGCCGAGTCCTGTAAGTGGTGGAGCGTTGGAGCAAAGACCCATCCCTCCTGCTGCTGATTCCTGGACCCTGAGATCCAGGGGCCCCTGGGAGGTCTGGACCAGTGGTGGCTCCTCTTCCTAGTTTTCTATGTGATTGCATTTCCTTTATTGTCCAGTGTGAATCCTCACAGTAAGCCCCTTTCATTGGGGCTGGCTTGGGGGACTCTCTGTTCCTTGCAACCAAATACTGGAGCAATATCCTAGAAAGCTCTCTTTTACAGCAGGATCAAATCCCTGCTTTTATTAGAAACACATATTGGGAATAGTTGAAGTACATTGTTTTAGAATTAATAAAACTCAATATTGTACGCTAAGAGGCAGGCAGGATGTTATGAGACAATCTGAGTGTATGATAAAAGAGGCCCCACACACCTTTTCTCATGAAGGAGGAAATTGACTGGTCCATGATAGATTTGGAAACTGTAGAACGATTTGTCATGGGATTTTCTTTCATTTTCTCAAACGACGTCTCCTGGACAATTTTATCTAGCACTGTTTCATCCAAGTTCTTTCCCATGAACTGCATCACCTTCCGAATTTCATGCTTTGGGTCCTGTGGCAAGGGTAACATTGGACTGGAATGGCTGAGAGTATCAGAAAAAAATACTACAATTCTCTGGGATGTCCTTTGAAACAACTTTGAATTTCTCTGTACCTGAAGAACCACTTTAAAATGGTTCTTCTGCAGAGCCTTCACTCACCCTCTTTATGTCCTCATAGAAGAGGAAGAGAATCTGGTGTCTGTCTTTCATCTCCCACCATCCTTTCACATGGTCAAACCAGGAACCCCAAACCACTGAAATAGACACAAGAAACAGAATGGTCTATGTAGGCATCGTACAAAGCCTTGTGAGTGTTAGGGATTTTCCTGTGAGTTAGAGAGAGAAAACCCAAATTCTGGGTTAGATATGTTGTAAGAGTTCTGATCTGTTTGATTTTGAGGGTGATGTAGATGGGGACAGCCTTGGAGTTACTTGCCCCAACATCTTTCCTAAAGTGGCTTCCTGTCTATTATGTGCAATCACATAGGGACAAGGACACTCTTTGGAAGAGGATGACTCTAATTAAAGGCTTTGAATCAGGTGGAAGATGTCTGCTGAGGGCTGTGGGCATATACTTAGAAAGTGGCCAGCTTGCTCTGCCCAGTCCCAGTCTGTGGTAGGACACACCTGATGAGGTGCAGGCATTCTAGGGGATAAAATGCTACCTGTGGTTCCCTAGACCCAACTTAGCTGGAGTGAGAATGCAAGGGTGTGAAGGATGTTCCTGTACCTTTTCCATTGATGAAGGTTTCAAAATATTCTTCCCAGGTACCAGGGTCAGGAAGCATGTGGTTCATCCTTTGGAAATGGTAGTAGGAAACCATACAGTCTTTGGCATTTCGAGCTACATAAAGGAACTTTGGGGTAAGAAAAGAGGTGGGTAAAAGATGGTATAAAAAGTGGACCTTCCCAGAGTTCCCTTAGGCGGAGCCATCCTGCAGGTTGCTGTGCACTCTGGCTCAGTGTTGTGGTGCTTGGCCTTGTGACCTCTCTCCATTTTCTGTCTCTGCTTCATCATCAGTCTGCTCTCTACTTCAAACTCAGTCCTTTTAATTAGCTAATCAATTAGGGATTGTTGAGGATTAGATTGCCTGATTGCCCCTTTGGTATCAGGAGCAAAATCTTTCTCTATAAACTATGACCTGCCACGTGAATAGGAGACTTCCACAGTATCAGGGTAAACTGATGACCCCTCTCGCACCCTCCCAAAGATGCACAGAAGCTTCATGTTTAAGAGTTTGAGTCACAGAGCAAGAAAATAGCTTCTATGTTTCTCCTGGCCTTCTCAGCTTGAATGATTTCCATCTCTAATCATTTCAGCTCTGCCCCTACAAACATCCCTTCAAGTTCCACTTTGCTCACAACTTCACATCCCTCCACCCTCCCAACAAATATGACCTTTTATCCAGTACTCAGTTCACATTTTAACAGCATCAATCCCCAATGGGCCTCTTGACTACACATCTCAGATCTATTAGCAGCTATTTCAATGCTGTGCTTTTTCATTCATTCGCTTTTAAGTGGTTCTCAACTGGGGATGATGGGATGGTTGTGTCCACTACGGGGACATTTGGCAATGTCTGGAGACATTTTTGGTTTCACAACTTTGAGTGGTGGTGCTACCGGCATCCATGCAGGGGCCAAGGATGCTGTTCAACATTCTACAATACACAGAAGGGTCCCCCTGCTCCCACCCACAAGAAAGAAAAATCTGCCCCAAATGTCAGGAGTGCTGTATTAATTATGTCTTTTATATTCTGCATCTGATACTTTGACATCCTAGGGTTTTGCTGACTCTGGAGGAACTGCCTACAACACCCCAGAACCTACACCCCCAACACCTCCACTCCTGGGCTCTTACACACTGGGCCACTATTCACCTGCCCTGATCACCCCAGAGTCAGATACCAGATGACTAGGCCCAGCCCCTGTGGCTGAAAGCCTGCTGCAATGGTTCAAACTGGCCAATCCCAAGCCTTACCCTGTCTCATCTGTTCCCTCCCAAAGAAACCACATCAAGGCTCTTGCCCATGTCTCCTACTCACCCTCTCTGCCTCCTGACCTATCCCATTGCTTCCCTGTGAGGCTCTGTGTGACATGCCATGCCTCCCGTTCTAGGGATCTGCGAGGATACACTTCTTCCTTATGACAGTCACCACTGTACCTGTGTGTCTTGTCATGCCTGATTATATCAACTCCCAGGCCCTTTAGAGCAAGTGCTAAGGTTAAGGAACACTGCTCCTGAACGTGCTGACTCTATTACTGTCTACTAAGTCCTACTGCCCATCTTCTCTTCTCCAACTTACCAAGCTGCCAAGCACCAGTAAAGAAGGTTTCAAGAAATGCTGATTTAAAAAATTCCCCGAGTTTCTAAATTTTTTATCCTCAGTTTTCTTCCTCTTCATTGCTGCTTGGTAATCCTTTTATTAATCCCTCCCGTGCTCCATCTCTTGGCTTTTAGCTCTAGCCACAGGTCTGTCCTCTCTCCTCAAACTTTTACCCTCAAACCTTCCTGTCTGAGTTCACTAATTCTCTGTGCAGCTGTTCTGCACTTTACCGTATGCTTGAGTTTTTAATTTCCATTATTTTATATTTTTTTGTTATAGAAATTTCATTTATTCACTTAATAATTCTGTGTCTAAAAGTAGCATCTTATTTCTTTTTTATTTTTAATTCACTCTTTCATTGATTCACACAACTTGAACCTTCTTTTATTTCTACAACTGATAATTATATTGTCTGAAGTTCCTGAGGTCTGACTCTTCCACAGGTTCTTTCTGAAGACTGTGTCTCATGGTGGCTTGTTCTTTTGTGTATTTTGTAACGTGGGATGGTGAGCTCAAGTGGGGATCCTATGGGGGTCTGAGTTGCGGCTGTGTCTCTCCAGAGAGGACCTGGGAACGCTGGCTGTGGGGACTACCTTGTGTAATTTCTCTGCCTGTAGTTTCTTGGACAATGCAAGGAGTGCAATTTTGAATTTCAAACCCTGAGAGAGGAAACCTGTGGCTACACATTCTCAAGGGAGCTGAGAGCCTAGGTCGAGGCAGAGCGGTTCCCCAAGGTCTTCCTCTGCCTCCTCCATCCATCCATTGAGGATGTAGCCCTTCCTTGGTCCCAGCTTTGGCTCCTCATTCTTCTGCTTCCTTGTGCCCTGGGCGTTGACCCTGTCCCTGTGCAGCCATTAAAACTCAAGTTGTTGGATTATCCAGGTCATCAAATTTCCCCAGGAGAGTCCCAGTCTCAACTTGCCTCTCTGAGTTTCAGTTCCCTCTGCAGTTTATAAACCTAGGGACTTTATTTTGATCTCAGTTATTCATTTAAAAGGAAACTTGTGATTTTTTAAATGCAGTAATCCTGGATGTTTTACATGTAAGTGCTTCAGGGGTTCAGAATACCTAGTTTGCCATAGTTTTGGAAATGGAAGTTTTTGTCCCCTTATCCAACATTACTGAAAGGACTGAAGTCATTTGATGTGAGTCCTCCAACTTCACTCCAGTGCCCTAGAACATATCTTTCTTAGCCCTTCTTTCCCCTTCCTTCCTGCCTTTAAGGAAACAGTGCCCCACTTTCTTACCAAGGCTGGCAGCTCAGTTTGCACCCTTGACTCTACTTGCTCCACAGCCACTTCCGTATTTACTCAGAAAGCACGTGTCTAATGCCCTCTATGTGCCAGGAGCTTATTAGGCTCTGTGGTGCATACAAATAAAGTCACAGAATAAATAAAACAAGGAACTCAAAGTCTACCAGAGGATGAGGTGGGGTGTCCTCAAGAGCATTGCTCTGTTCATCTGTTTACAGTTTGGGGAGATCTTTAGCTCTTTTCCTCTCATTCTTCCCTCCCTGGTCTGTTAGAGAGCCTCCCCATGGCCTGCAGCCTGGGATCACCATCTTCTCCCCTTCATTTCACAGCTACACTTAGTGCACTCACTGCCTCCTCATTTCTCTAGTTTCTTCCAAATATGTAGTCTGGCTCCTGCCTTCATGTCCTATTTGAAACTGTTCTGGTGAATGTCCTGCTGAGTCTAGAACTTTACTTTTTCTGTTTGCTGGTAAGCATCAGAGACAGTGGAGAGGCAAAGGTGATGACGAATGTTCTGCGTTGGGGTCTGCAGTACTCGCTTTGGTTGGCTTACTCTCCCTTCTGTCACAGGGAGCTGTTGGTATCTTACCTTGCAGTTGTTTTCCCAGAAAGATGGCGGCAGCAGCTGAGTGGAAAGGTGAGTCTTTAGTATCCGTGGAGAGGGCGTTGCTTTGGCTTTTTCCACACCTTTAAAATAGTTCAAGAGGAAACATCTGTGTAGTACAAGCACTACCCGGGGACCTCATGATGCAGGCTCTGTCCAGGATATCCCATCACTCACTTATCTTTCTGCTAGTCTCTTGACTTTCTTTTGGGATTTTACAATGGGATTATTAATTTTCATTTTTGTGGAATCAGACAGCTTGAGTCCTGGATGGGGCCTTAGAGTTAAGTTACTCTGTCACTTTAAGGATGAGGTGATGGAAGCTGAGAAAGGGCAGGTGATGTCTTGCTGAGGCACAGTCAGCCACGACCAGAGAGCAGAGGCCTCCCTCACCTTCCTGCCAGTCAGAGATAACCCCCATGTGCCTGCAGCAGGCTGTCTCGTGTACCTGGCCTGTTTGCAATCACTTGTTTCATTTCTAAAAACATATATACTTGCTGGCCTGTGAGTCATGATTTCTACTCTCTCATTTTAAAGCCTTAATGAGCACCTTGTGCAATCGTGGTGTTAAGCTGAGGTTAGGGGGAAAAGGCAACAAAGACGAGAAAAACACAGACCTTCTCCCTAAGGAGCTTCCACTCTGGTGTGGGAATCAGAGGCTCATGCAAATCACGTCAGAGGAGCTGGGTCAAGTTTGTGCTGAGGATCTCCTTCCTCTTTAAGACCGAATACTGTTCCATTGTGTGTGAATTCACATCTTGTTTCTCAGTTCATCCATTGGTGGCCACTCGGGTTGTTTCCACCTTTGGGCTATTGTGAATAATGTGATTTTGAATGTGGGTGTACAGGTATCTGTTTGAGACCATGTTTTTATTTCTTTGGGATATATGCCCAGAAGTGGAATTGCTGGATCATGTAGTCATGGTAATTTTTGTTAAATAAGAAAGTGTTTGGGCACTAAAAAGAAAAGTTGGAAAACCACCTTTAGCTGTTTTTGAAGTCCGTATTCCTTAGAAGACTTGCAAAACTGTCCTGCCTCTAGTCTCTTTCCTCAGCTCCGCCTCTATGCCAGCTCACACTCCGTCCTTTCAAGTGCCCTGGTCCTGCTGCTCCAGGCCCCTGTGCCTCCCTCCAGCCCTCATCTCTACACATCTGGTCCTGCTTCCCCAGGCCCCTGTGCCTCCCTCCAGCCCTCATCTCTACACATCTGGTCCTGCTGCCCCAGGCCCCTGTGCCTCCCTCCAGCCCTCATCTCTACACATCTGGTCAGTCCCGCTCACTCTTCAAGGGTCTCTCCAAGTACTTTCAGTGCTAGTGACATGGTGGCCTGAACATTATGAAGATCTTTCCTGTTAATCACACACCTGCAGATTCTGATGAAAACACCAAACACTCTTTTAAGTGCAGAATCAGGCTCATAAGAAAATAAGGGGAGCCTCCAGGGACCAAAGTGAAGAGGGAGGGAGCTGCAAGATGGAGAAGTGGGCAAAGGCTTTGATGACAGCTGCCCGGAGTGGGTTCACCCACCGGACACCCAGTCCTCAGTTCAGTGACCACTGCTCAGGGAGGAGGCTGGTAGGCCTGGGCTTTAGTGAGGCACAGATTAGGAACAGAGACCCATGCATTAGCAGGAGAAACTCAAATGCCTGCTACCTCAGTGAAAGGTGAGAGAGAAAAACACCACCTACTGACAAAGAGAGGTAAAGTAATTTCCTTGCCTCACCTCTGGGTGCAGAAAAAGGGGCTTTCTTGAGAACTCATAACCACTATCCTGTTTTCATACTACATGCATGGATATGAAATCATACTACCTGCTTGGACCAGAAGTTAACTTAAACTATTGTAGATTGGAAATGTTCCAATGTAGGTGTGAGATCAAGAGAGGGAGAAAAAAACTTTTTATACAAAATTACAAAACAAATGAGGGAAAAGCCTTATGAACAAGAGCAGAAAAAAACAGGTGGAAGAACTAAACCCTTAGTGACCTCCATTATTGGGTACCTGATAGAGAATATAAATAACTATGTTTACAATATGCAAAGAAGACCAGGTGCAGTGGCTCACGTCTGTAATTTTGGTGCTTTGGGAGGTTGAGGCAGGTGGATTGCTTGAGCTCAGGAGTTCGAGACCAACCTGGGCAACACAGTGAAATCCTGTCTCTAAAAAAAAAAAAATACCAAAATTAGCTGGGCATGGTGATACACACCTATAGTCCCAGCTACTTACTCGGGAGGCTGAGATGGGAGGATTGTTTGAGCTCGAGAGATTGAGGCTGCAGTGGACTGTGACTGCACGACTGCACTCTAGCCTGGGTGACAGAGTAAGACCCTGTCTCATAAAAAAGTGCAGAGGAATGCAAGAGAAAGTTGAAAACATGATCAAGGAAACAAGAGACTACTAAAAAGACTGGGAAGATTTATAAAGTGTTTGGACATGAAAACCTACAATGAGTAGGGTTAAATAGCAGAACATACATAGCTGAAAAGAAAAACAGTAGCAGAGCTAAAGAAGCACAATGTAGAGAAACACAGAGATGAAAACTATAAGAAACCTTAGCAGACATAGAGGACAGAAGGGAAGTTTATGGGTGGAGTTGGACTGTCAGTCCCAAGCTGGGGAGCAAATTCAGGGAATCTGCCAGAAAGTGAGATCTGCAGGCCGGTTGATTTCCTTCCTGGTACTCGTGGCTCTCCTCTTTCCTGTTACACCTGATTTAATGCCCTGTGGGCAGTAACCACTTAATGCCTAAAAGAGACCCAGTCCTCTAACTGGGAAATCTGTACTCAGTCATTATGGTCCTCTGATGGCTCACAGTCATCCTTCCTGCCTATGACAAGTAAGAAAGCCCGCTCCTACTCCTGATCCAGCCCTGTTGGTGGACTCAGCCCAGCTCCAGCTCCATATTTTTCTGCCAAAAAACCCCTACAGGAGAGAGATACTGTGGAGCTGGGGCTTTACATAAAGCAGTTGACCAGTGTTTTCTTTTACGAACATAGGTACATTGTACATTCTGCCCCACCACACCCTTGCCCCACCTGTCTCTCATCAGTGATTCAGAAAAGCCCCATGGGGTTGCCTCACCCACCAGGAACACCATGATAGTTGCTCAGACTCAGGGTGGAGAAGCACAGCATGGAGAGTGTGCATGACACAGCCCAGGCTGCAGGGTCCGTTCCCAAGCCCACTAGCAGGAAAGAAGGGGAGCAAATGAGGTCATTTTTGGCCTTCATCAGCTGCACTAAGATTTTAGCCTTGGAATTTGAGCCAAATTGCATGTGGCTGTGTGGGGTAAACCAATTCAGCCAATACTGTAGAAACAGCCCCATGGGAGTACAAAGTCAAACAGAACTTGTTTCTTGCCATCAGAGTTTGTGGTCTGGCAGGAGACAGAGGCAGAAAATTAGTAATGACAGCAGTTTATCATTTCAGTTGTCACCTCCAGAAACTATTCTTTGGCCATGTTCCCCTCACCCTGTCAATAGTGCTTCATGCTTGTTGTTACATCATCTGCATTGGTTTCTTCCATGGGACCATAACTTATTGAGGGCAAGTAGGTGTGAAGTCTTATGAGCAGCATAGGCCCTTGAGCATAGATGTTTGCTGAAATGGAGTGGATCATTCCTAGATTTCACCTATATACAGTTCACACACACGCATGCATGCACACACATGCACACAGGTCTTTTCAAAGTCTTTCCAAACCAATTCTTTGTGGGTCACAGATGCAATCCCTTTTGTCACAGAACGTCTGTGAGGCTGGGAGTTGATGGAGGAGCAGAAGGGGGGCCTGGAAGGGAGACTGACCATGCAGAGCACAAGCTCGTCCATTGTCCAGTAGTGCCTGACCACTCCAGAATGCTCCAAGGGTGGTTGAGACCTTTGGCCAACAGCCATGAGTCTACATCAGCACCTGGTCTCCTCCCAGTGGTGCTCCTCACCTCGGCTGGCAGGGATTATCTGCTGTGAAAGAAAGCCACTGGCCGGGTGCAGTGGCTCATGCCTATAATCTCAACGCTTTGGGAGGCCGAGGCGGGTGGACCACGAGGTTAGGAGTTCGAGACCAGCCTGGCCAACATGGTAAAACCCCCCGACTCTACTAAAAATACCAAAAATTAGCCAGGCACGCTGGCAGGTGCCTGTAATTCCAGCTACTCGGGAGGCTGAGGCAGGAGAATTGCTTGAACCCAGGAGGGCAGAGGTTGCAGTGGGCCGAGACCACGCCATTGCACTCCAGCCTGGGCAATAGAGCCAGACTTCGTCTCAAACAAACAACCAACCACTGCACAGCTGAGTCTCCAGCCAGCATTCAGCTGTCTGTGGCCGGGCAGATCATAAAGGCTGAGACCGTTTGTTACTCTCACACAGGGCACCCTCGTTCATAAAGAGGCCAGGGTTCCTCTGTAGAACATGCCAAGCTGGCTGATGGATTACCATTCTTTCTCCGGATTCTATAGCTCTGTCCTGGTTTTTAATGCTGATTTAGTGATTGAACACTCTGCTCTCTACTGCTAAGAATACTTCATTAGAAATCTTGTTTAGGCCTCTCCTCTTTCTTTAATCTCTCACATTGTCAGAGATAAGACACTGGGCAGCAGCAGGGGCAGGAGGCAGAACAAAGATCAAAAGCTGTTCTTGGGCTGGGTCTGGTGGCTCATGTTTGTGATCCCAGTGGCTTGGAAGGCTAAGGCAGGAGGCTTGCTTGAAGCCAGGTGTTTGAGAGCAATCTAGGAAACATAATGAAACCCTATCTCTACAAACAATTAAAAAATTTGCCAGGTGTGGCAGTGTTCACCTGTAGTCCCAGCTACTCGGGAGTCTGAGGTGGGAAGATTGCCTAAGCCCAGGAGTTCCAGGTTGCAGTGACCTATGATGGCACCACTGCACTCCGGTCTGGGTGACAGAGCTAGCCTCCATCTTTAAATAAACAAAAAATGCTGGTCTTAGATAATTAGGGAACACATGGGGTCATGGGGCCTAGAGAGGTGGTTAGTAAAGATGCCTAACACGTAGATAGTATCCTCTGAGTGTCAGGCAATGCTTCAGGCTTTTTACCTGTATTGGATTTGTTAATGCTCACAACAACTCTTTGAGATAGGCCTTGATTCTATCCACACTTTGCAGCTAAGGAAACTGTGACACAGAGAGGTTATGTAAACATTGTGAGGTGAGTGACAGAGTCAAGATTCAAACATCGTGAAGTGAGTGATGGAGTCAGGATTTAAACCCTGGTAGTCCTTAACTATTATACCATCCTGCTGCTCAAGGAGCAGAAGACCAGACACACACAAAACAGCAGGCCCTGATGGCACACGGAGTGAGATTATGGTTAAGCAGGCAGAGTCTGGCCTGTTTATGGGGTCAGAGCCCCACAGGTAGTTCAGAGCAGGGCACAGGGTTACAAAGCCAGTGGTTACCTACCTAGTGACCATTGTCTCCTCTTTGAGAGCCAGAGGAGCCACAGGGGCTGGATGGTAGGATCATAGGGGAGAGCAAAATCCTTTAAGGCTATTCTGACTTGGAGGCACCTCCTTGTACAGGTTTCAAGTGTCTTGTATGCATCAGGTCAGGGACTTTCTATCTCAGGACATTTTTAGGGATTTATCGGACCTCTGTCTACAGTTGCTCCAAGTCTAGACTTCATGCTAGAGCTGCATTGACTACATTTTCATAGCTTCAGCTACTGTGCTTCCAGTTTTCTATCACATGGATCTCTGCAATGCTGCAACTTAGGGAAGTAGGCCTTCCTCCTATCCTTGTTTTGCAAAATAGTTCCAGCAGCTCTAGTTACCTGAAATATAGCCTTCTGGTTATATTTTTTAGCTTCCTTTAGTTTTTGATGTGAAGAGAAACACTTCCAGGTTGAGCATTACCTGAAAAGTCTTCTCTATTGAATAGAAATAATTGGTTCCAAATGCAATGGTGTGTGTGTGTGTGTGTGTGTGTGTGTGTGTGATTGATTCTTGGATACTTGCCTGGTTGCACTGGGCTTTATCAGGTTGGGGTACAGAGAGAAGAGGGAATAAATGGCTTACAGTTTCTCACATCTTCAGTATGTCCTACAGTTGCACATGATCAGAAGGAGGGCTTAAGAAGAAAACAAGGCAGAATCTGACCCTAGCACACACCCTTTTCACTTGGTGATTCACTTTTGGCAAAAAATCTTAAATAATATGTAGACAGAGGATGAGAGGAAGATAAAAGGAAGAAACATATGACAGTGAAAATGAGAGAGAAAGCGAAAGAGAAGAGTAAGGAGAGAGGGAGGGAGAGAGAGAAGAGGAAGGACAGAAGGGGCAGAGAGAGAGAGGAGAGAAGAGAAAAATGAGAAAAGACGGGGAAAACAGAAGAGAGAGTGAAAGAAAGCAGGAAGAAAGAAAGAGGGAAGTGCTCTCACCAGAAGGTTGGGGTGGCCGAGCCCACTCAATGAAAGGATGGCGGTGTTGGATGATGGCTCGCTGGCACTTCTCCACGTCCCCATTCTGTTCAATCATATCCACAATTTCCTGAATCCATGTTGTCCCTGAGGCTCAGAAAGGAAGGGTGAGAAGGAGAAACCTGTTAGACGATCTTCCCTGAAGAGTCCCGAGTAAACAAAGGGGATGTAGAGCTTGGTGTTTGCATCAACCTCCCCTCGGGTCAGGATCCTGGTAGCCATGAGTGATGGAAGTCCATGAGGGATGGATGGACTTTGGATCTCTGTAGGGAGTGGAGCAGCACAGGCAAGGCTCCCCCAACCCAGGACCAGTGCATGGCAGAGCACAGCAGCTTTCCTGGAAACCCCAGGGATATCAGGCATCCTGCATGAGTCCTGAGCTCTGAACCCCACTGTGGAACAATAAGAAGGAGCAGGTTTCCTCTCAAGGGGAATTCTAACTTAAGTGACAAGCCGGTGCTGGCTCAGCAGGTCTTTGCTGTCCCTCCTGCCCTGCAGTCACCTGCTTTAGGGTAGGTGCAGATGAGGAGATCATCTGGTTTGGCCTCGAAGCTCTGGATTTGGCTCCAGTTGTCCACAGTTGCAGACTGCAGGAGGGTCCCCTCCACCTCTTTCAGTTTTATCTGTTTCCCCAACTCTGAGGTCAGGGCCATAGTGTCTCAGCATTGGGGGTCCCTATGGGAAAAGAATAGAGGAGATTTTTAAAGAAGCTGTGGTAAAATACACTTAATACAAAATTGATCATTTTAACTGTCTTTAGGCATACAGTTCACAGGCATTAAGTATATTCACATTGTTGTGCAATCATTATAACCATCCTTTTCCGGAATTTTTTTCATCTTCCCAGACAGAAACTCTGTATCCATTAAACAATAACTTCCCATTCTCCCTCCCTCAGCTCCTGGCAACCACTGTTTTACTTTATTTCTCTATGGACTCTATATACCTTATTTAGGTGGAATCACATAATATCTGTCCTTTTGTGAATGTCTTATTAATTAAGCTTAATCTTATGCTTAATTGCAAACTTGATTTAATCTCTTCAAGGCTCATCTGTGTTGTAGCATGTGATAGGATTTCCTTCCTTAGTTCACTGTAGGTATATACCATTTTTATCTTTTGAGACAGAGTCCAACTCTGTTGCCCAGGCTGGAGTGCAATGGCATGATCTTGGCTCACTGCAACCTCTGCCTCCAGGGTTCAAGCGATTCTCATGCCTCAGCCTCCTGAGTGACTGGGATTACAGGTGCCCACCACCATGCCTGGCTAATTTTTGTAATATTAGTAGAGACAGAGTTTTGCCATGTTGGCCAGGCTGGTCTTGAACTCCTGACTTCAGGTGATCCACCCACCTTGACTTCCCAAAGTGTTGGGATTACAGGCGTGAGCCACCATGCCCAGCCTATATTTTGTTTATCCATTCATCTGCTGATGGAAACTTTTGGCTGTCGTGAATTAGGTCTCTGTGAACATCGATGTACAAATCTCTCTTTGAATTATTGCTTTCAGTTCTTTTTGGTATATACTCAGAAGCGAGATTGCTAGATCATCTGGTAATTCTATGTTTAATATTTTGAGAAACTGTTACAGCATCTTCCACAGCAGCTGCACCATTTTACGTTTTTACAAGCAGTGCATAAGTGTTCCAGTTTTTCCAAATTGTCATTAACACTTGCTGTTTCCTGTGTTTTTTGTTTGCTTTTTTGTTTTTGATAATAGCCATCCTAATGGGTGTGGGGTGATAAATAGCTCATTGGGGTTTTGATTCACATTTCCCTAATGATTAATGATGTTGAGCATCTTTTCATGTGCTTATTGGCCATTTGTAGGAGAAATATCTCCTTTGCCCAGTTTTGCATTTTGTGTGTGTGTGTGTGTGTGTGTGTGTGTGTGTGTTTTGTCATTGTTATATTGAGGGAAGACTTTTAAATGCACCAAAAGCAGAAAGCTGAAGAAGTAAGCCACTATTACTCAAGGATAACTGGCTACTGGGGTTCCAGAAGACATTTATTACTACTATTACTAATGAAATAGTAGTTAAAAGCTAACATTTATCAAACACTTCAATTTACCATCGCTGGGCTGAGTGCCTTGTATACATTAATTTATTTTAACTTTTGCTGAATATGAGTGATAGAACTTCAGAGCTGAAAGGGTCCTTACAGAAAATGTAACAGTACATGCTTGCTAGAGGTTGAATAAAATAACCTGGCCCAGCTGCTTCATGGAATGGATGAGAAAACCAGGTGCCCAGATTAGCGAGGCCAGTTTTCGTGGTGGCTTCTGCTTCTGGATTGAGCTGAGCCCTTTAAGATGAAGACAATTTTCGGAAAATGAAAGGCAAATTATTTCTGAAAATTTTCAGATATGAAAAGCAGCTGTATTTATAATACATCAAAGAAGGTGGAGTTTGGACAGTATTCCTGAGATTACGGTGTGGTGAAATTCAGAAGAGGAGGGATAAGAACAAACATTTCTTGCAGGCCTTCTGTATTAGGCCCTTCATGGACTTTTCTTTTTCTCTCTTAATTCATATGACAATTTTATTAGGAAGGAATAATTATCACCCTCATAAATGTGAGGAAGCTGAGAGTTACACGATCATAACTTGCCCAGGATCACAGCCAACATCTGTATACAAATCCTATATTCCTTCTTTAAAAATTGCCTCTTTTTTTAAATTGTGAATTTAAAGGCATACATTGCAGAAAATTTGGAAAAAGTCCAAATGTACAAGGAAAACATCTATCACACAGAGTTGTATTTCTGTCTTTTTCAAATGTATATTGTTGTAGGCAGAATAATGGCCCTACAGATGTCCACGTCCTAATTCCTAATACATTACATTGTGTGGCAAAGGGCTTTGCATGTGGAATTTAGGTTAAGAAGCTTAAGGCAGGCTGGGCGTGGTGGCTCACGCCTGTAGTCCCAGCTACTTGGGAGGCTGAGACAGGAGAATGGCGTGAACCCGGGAGGTGGAGGGCGACAAAGCGAGATTCCATCTTAAAAAAAAAAAGAGAAGAACCTTAGGGCCATGAGCATGTCCTGTATTATCGAGGTGGGCCTAATGTGACCACAAGGGCACTTAAAAGTGGGCAAGGGTGCAGAGGAGCCAGTCAGAGAGTCATGTGGTAGAAGAAGTGACTGGAGAGTTTGGAAACATGAGAAGGACTCAACTTGCCATTGATGGCTTAGAGACAAAGGGGAACACAAGACAAAGCATGGCCTCCAGAGGCTGAGAATGAACCTCAATCAACAGGCAAATGGGACCTCTGTCCTACAGCCACATGAATCTGAATTCTGCCAACAACCAGAATGAGCTTGGAAGGGATTCTTCTTCAGAGCCCCCAGAAGGGAACACAGCCCTGCCAACACCTTGATTTTACACAGAGACACCTGGTTTGGATAAACTTGTGTTGTTTTAAGCTGCTAAATTTTTGATAATTTGTTATGGCAGTCATAGTTATAGAAAACTATTTATACATAGTTATGAATAAAAAGTATATATATAAATGTAAAATTACAAAATTTTATACTTTTTGGATACTGCTGTGGTTTGGATGTGGTTAGTCCCCACCAAAACTCTGTTGAAGTTTAACTGCCAGTATGGCAGTGCTGGGAGATGGGGTCTCGTGAGAGGTGTTTGGGCCATAAGGGTGGATTCCACATGAGCAGATTAATGCCATCTCCCAGAAGTGGGTGAGTTTGGTCCCTTTGCACATGCTCACTTGCCTTTCTATTTCTTCACCACGTCTTGATGCAGCGTGGCTCTCACTGGAAGCTGAGCAGATGCCAGCACCATGCTCTTGGACTTTTCAGCCACCAGAATCATGATTCAAAATAAACTTCTTATATTTTTAAATTACCCAGCCTCAGGTATTTGGTTATAGCAACACAAAATGAACTAAGACGGATGTTATCATGATTTGAATTGTGTCTCTCTAAGTTCGTATGTTGAAGTCGTAATCCATAGTATGTTAGCATGTGGCTGTATTTGGAGATAATGTCTTTGAGGAGGTGATTAAGTTAAAATGAGGCCACTAAGATGAGACCCATTCCAATTTGGTATCCTTGTAATGAGAGGAGATTAGGACACACAAGGCAACACCAGGGATGTGTGCACATAGAGGAAAGACCATGTAAGGACACAGTGAGAAGGTTCTCCATAGGGTGGGGGTGAGGGGAATGGTGAGTCCAATTCTGGGGTTGAGTCTGATGTATTTGTGGGACTTCCCAATGTACACCTGTAGGCAGGTATACATGTGAGCTTAGGGCTCTGGCCTGGAAATAATGTCTTGAGAATCATTCATGCAACACATTGACCAACTCTGTGGTAGGTGTTGCTCTGGGCAGGTAGCTGATGACTGAGGGCGTGGGCATGGCTGTGAGTGTGTGCAGAAGGGCGCCTGCTGCTGAGGACTAGGGCAGTTAAGGGCTTGGCTGTCCAGTGTACTATGGATCCCACTGTATTGCCCTTGTTGGAGGCCTGCACGGGGAGTGATAGAACCTGGCTAAAGCTGGGAGAAGGAGATGCGGCAAGAGATTGGGGCAGCTGGGTAGTGCAGTGGGAGCAGAGGGATCTGCCGGTTCCCACAGGAGAAGTCCCAAGTCCTTCTCACCCTCCCCAAGCCCCTCATTGCTGGGCCACATCTGCACATGGTTCCTGCCCTTGAAGAGGCAGGCATTTAGACACACACATTTTCCCTTGAGCAGCCAGCAGGAACCTTTTCATCCTATCAGGCCAGATCACTATGGCCTCCTTTGTGGAGGCATCCCTGACTCTGTAAACAGAAGTAATCACTCCTTTCCGTGGGATCTTATAGCATTTTGTGTGCAAAATTTTATAGATCTTACTCCATGTCCTATAGTTACTTGCTTATAAGTCTGGACCCTGGAGCACAGGATCTGGTTCAGTCCCCTTGCAGGCCCAGCATGTGTCTTGGTCAATGGCTGGCATAAGAGGAGGACTCTCATGGAAGAAGAAATAGTCTTGGCCAGAGAAGTTGAGCTGGCCGTGGAGGAGGGTGGGACAGAGAGTGTATCTGGGAAAAGATCAGGGTGGAAGACAGAGATAGTATTATAGGGGAGAGAGCCTTTGGAGGTGATTGCCTGGGGTCCTGAATCTAGGTCTGAATTTTTAGGCTGGAGGCTTTTGGTTACAAAGCTCTTTTATATTATTTTATCAGATTCTTAGGATCTTTTCTGGTTTGAGTAAATGCATCTATAAAGTCACACCTATGTGGCTAAAGGTTAAAAAAATCAATTAACGAGTTAGGTACAGAATTTCTTTTAAGCTGTATTCTTACCTTCAAGTTCCAGCTGAACGTCAGCAGCTCAAAGGCCCACTCAAGGGTCAGTGGGCACGGAAGGGACTTTCACAGGAAGCAGATGGCAATTGCAGAGGCTCAAATTACTACTGTGTCAGAGTTACAGGGGCGCTCAGCAGGTAGCCAGCACTTTGGGAGGCTCTCAGCTTCACTGTGGAAAGTTGAAGCTTTTACTGGAAGAATCCGGATTGAACAGAAACAAACCCTGTGACCTGGCCCTGGGAGGGAGAACTTCTCGCTGTACCATGATCACTCATGTGACCCTGACTACTGTGCAAATATCAGCTCCCCTCTCGTGCACATGAACTGAGGGCACACTCTGCCCTCCCCTTGGTCTCCACCTAGAGTTTTTCACATCTCTCCTGGCCCTCAGCTGCTCTGACCCCTCCCTCCTCCTGCTGGTCTAGAAGCTTAAACAGGTGGAGGCTGGGGGAAAATGGAAAGCTGGCTCTAGGACCAGATGCATCAGGCTTCAGATAGGCTCCTGCTTATTTGGTGAACTCCCTTTTCCTCCCGCCTTAGCCTGAGATTTACTTTCTGCATCTGTGAAGTGTAGGTAATACTGCCTGTCTTCAATCCATGCTTTAAGATTGAAAGCAACAATGTTAATGAACACACTTTGCATAGCACATAGTAAGGGCTTAAAACTGCTGGTTCTTCTTTCCTTTCTTCCCAAACTGTATTCATCCACACTGAAATGCAGAGAGGATAGAACAAAAGTCTAGAGCTTAGGTGTGTACTTATTTATACCTTGCCATATTGTACAAAAGGTACACTTTTGAAGATGCAGATTATATTCCGTAGTGTCTTTGGTTACCTAGGAAATTAAATGGATCAGGTGTTAATGATCTCTGAGCTGCTACTCTTCTGCCAGCCCCAACCTTGTATCTACCCCAGTGCTTTCCTTTCTGGAATTGAAGCATAATTCTGCACCCCATCTGCACTTCTTGCCAAAGCTTTCCTTGTCTTCCTTGACCCTGTACCTCATAATGCTTTTTGCCAACACTTCTTCTTCCTCCTTGTTTCCAATTTATTTTTTTTAAATAAATTGAACTTTATTTTTCTACTTCTGCTGTCTTCCCAGTTCCACTTATCCCAACGCTGTCAATTTTCAGCCCCAAAGGGCTGATTCACAGTTCTTAGTGCAACCTTACCTTTTCTCTGCAGTTAAAGTCCCTACGTCTGCTAAGGTGTCTGCCAGTATCGGTGCCATGCTGCGCTGCGTGCTGCATCTCCCTGCCTTTGCCGTCTACATGGGCCACAGTCTTTACAATTAGCAGTTAGTAACCACTGCTAGTATCTGCTTCCTCCACATTTGTGGCAGATGAACTGGGATGTTGCACAGTCTTCCAGCGGTCTCCTCATTTCTCGTCTCTTCCCTACTAGTCTCTCATACTTTCAGCATATAAATGAAGCTCAGCTCAGATCAGGCTATCCTTTGGTTGTTTATGGCTCAGATTCTGGATACTTCCCCTTGGAATTCAAGACCTTCTAAATTCATTAATTATTATTTTTATAAGGCAGGGTCTCACTCTTTTGCCCAGGCTTCAGTGAAGAGGCATGATCATAGCTCACTGCAGCCTTGACCTCCTGAGCTCAAGTGATCCTCCCACCTCAAGCCTCCTGAATGCCTGGCTCAAGGCCTTCTTTAATACAACACCATCCTCACCATGGACTCCACACACCAGGTGAACTGAATGACTTACTCTCCCCTATATGCATCCTATAAATTCCTGCCTCCCTGCTTCACTCTTGTTGTTCTCCCTGCCAAAGGGCTCTTACTCTTAGCCTGGCACACTGCTGTGCACCTATAGTCTCAGTTACTTGAGTCCAGCCTGGGCAACATAGTGAGATCCCATCTCTAAAAAAATGTTCTTACTCTGATTCCACAGAGTCAAATTCTTCAGCTTCGAACCCATCTTTTCCTTGAAGCCTTTCCTTAGGTTATATAGCTGGAAGGAATCTCTACTGTGAACTACCATATGCTTTTTAAAAAATAAGTTTTAGTGAGATCAAATTCACATACCGTGCACTTCACCCAAGTGTACAGTTCAGTGTTTTTAGTTGTGCAACCATCATCACAATCAATTTTGTAATATTTTCATCACCCCAAAAAGAAACCCCATATTTATTAATAGTCATGCCTCATTCTTCCTACCCCCATGTCCAGCTTTAAGAACCCAAAATCTACTTTGTGTCTATAGACTTGTCTATTGTGGACATTTTATATAAATTGGATCAAAAGTGTGTGGTCAATAGGATTAATTTGCCCTTCTCTTACAGCAAATTTTCTCTTTTTACTTTAATGAGGAAATCAACTACCCTCCCAGTGTGTTGACTGGGGCCTATCTCTAAGATCACCTGTACCATTTTTTAATGAACATATTTTAACCAGAATGGGCTATAGTATGAACTCAATGAACAGTTTGTCACCATGTACTCATTCAACTGGATTAATATACTTATTGAATGAATAAACAAATGAATGAAACAAAAACTTTGGTTTTCACCAGGACTGGGACTTGGATGAGGGAACTAAGGTGCAAAATGTAAGGAGACACTCACTCCAGGGCTGGGCAAGACAATGAGTGCCTCCTTCAATGCTGTGCCCTTACCTCCCCCTAGTCCCTGCCCTGGTTTATACGTAATCCATCCACGTGGATTTTCACTGAACTGTGATTCATGTACCTCTGGAACTTTCTGAGCTGTTTCTGAGAACCAGGTAAAGTGTGCCCTCTTTGGAGTTAGGGAAATGTCTACAAGGCATCCTCTGTCCACTAGAAAGACCAAAGCCACCATTGCCTCCTGGAAGAGTTTTGTGAGGGATCTGATCACGATTTACAACTGGGAAAAGTAGCCAAGCTGCTTTGTGCCACTGGCACAAAGTGGAAGGTGCCTGTGTTCCAGCAGGCTGGCTTTGAGGAGCAGCGGGAGCAAAGGTCTCCCCGCTGGACATTCCCATCCCTTCTGGGTGCACTACCTCCTACAGCTGCAACTGCTTGGGGCAAGCTTTGTAACACTTGCCTCAGTCACACAGATCCTTTGATCAAGTCTGCAAGAGAGCAGACGAGTTGTTTCCTGCAGGTCCTGTAGTACTAGGTGGGCAAACTCTGACTCCTTTGTAACTTCATGGATCTCGCTTATTATCCAGGAAACTGGCTCAGCATTCTGCTGGCCTGTGCTCCCTTATTGTTTAAAATGTTTTTCTTCTGTTTTTGACCATCCACAATTCACATAATTACATGTCTCTCAAGCCATTTTTCTCACTTTGCAGTGCTCATTGGCTTTAATTCTCCCTTTCCCTTTTCTTATCTAATTCTTGTCCAGTCTCCCAGGGAAAGATGGAACAAATCTCTTTCTCCCTCACTTTCTACTATCTCCTTCCCTTCATATTCTGCTACTCATCCTTCCATTTGCTGACCTTGGCCCCACTCCAGTCATGGCTGATGGCTGTTGGGATGTGGCACATTTGTATTAAGGAAGAGAGAAATCCTGAGATGTGATTGATGCAAAGTTAGAAATAATGAAGAATCACATTGCATGAGTTCCCTAGGGCTTCTGTACAAATTGGGTGGCTTAAGGTACAGAAACTTCTTGTTTCACAGCTCTGATAAGTAAAAATCCAAGATCAAGGTGCAGTATGGGCTCCTTCTGGAGCTGTGGGGGAACTCCGTTTCATGCCTCTTTCCCAGCTTCTGGTAGTTTGCAGGTGCCACCCCAATCTCTGTCTTCATCCTCACGTGTTGTGTGTGTCTGTGTCCAAATTTCCCCCTTTTATAAGGATATCAGTCATATTGAATTAGGGTTCACCTTAATTATCTCCTCTGCAAATGCCATATTTCCAAATAAAGTCACATTCACGAGCACTGGGAGTTAAGACTTCAACATTTTTGAGGGGGACTCAATTCAACCCATACCACACTAATATCAGTGTGTGGAGCTTTGAAAAAATAGAAATTTCTTTCAAAATTCCATAGTACTTTTCAAATTCATTTACCATTTTCTCCACCTAAATTGGCAGTTTGTTTTAAGGCACAGACATTCAAGTAAATGCAATAATCTGTTTTATTTGATAGCTAGTTTTGCAGTAGTGTTATCTTTTTACTTATGTTTCATTTGGAGTGCCTGTTGTTTCAGCTACCTTGTGAGTTCATTGTAGATATTACTCTAATCTTGAGAACCTAGTACTCATTTCAGCATTGTTTCTTGGGAAAATATCTTTCAAGTTTCAAAAGACTGAAAGTATCCTTTGAGCACAGTCAATTTTTAACTGGGGGCTTCCTGTGCAAGTTTCTGGGCCTATCATGTGTGATAATTGAACCCTTCAAAAACATAGAAAAGCAGACCCATGACAGTCCCAACACACTTTTAGCTCAGATTAATAAATAATGTTTATACATATGTTAGGACACTGAATAACTGATCGTATAGTGAGCGAAACAGCATGTTACAAAATGATGTGTTTTGTGTGAGTCTTTGTAAGAAATGTTTTGTCCATCAACAACTGTATGGAAAAAGACACACCAAAGCCTCTACCCCTGTGTTAGCCATACTCATCTCTTGGGATGGGATGTGTCACTGGGGGTGGGAATGGGGGAAGGATGTGGGAACTGCTTGTTGAATGTGATTGCATTCATCCATTTTCATACTGCTAAGAAGAAATAACTGAGACTGTAATTTATAAAGAAAAAAATTTAATGGACTCACAGTTCCACATTGCTGGGGAGGCCTCACAATCATGGCAGAAGGTAAAGGAGGAGCAAAGGCACATCTTACATGGCAGCAGGCAAGAGAGCCTGTGAAGGGGAAAATGCCCTTTATAAAATCACCAGATCTCGTGAGACTTATTCACTATCACAAGAACAGCGTGGGGAAAACCTGCCCCCATGATTCAACCACCTCCCACCAGGCAAGCTACAAGGCGGAAGAAGATAGTTGTAACATAGAAGTTGTTAAAAAATTTGTATCCAGATTATATAAAGAACTCCTACAAATCTATGAGAAAAAGACTGACAGCCAAATAGAAAACTGTGCAAGAGACCTGAACAGGTACTTCACAAATGATGATCTGACCAATAAATACATGAAGATGCTAACATCAGTAATTACCAGATAAATACATCAAATCAAGTAATTAAATAAGCTATTTTATTTATGTATGTATTTATTTTTTAGACACAGTTTCACTCTGTTACCCAGGCTGGAGTACAGTGGTGCAATCTTGGCTCACTGCAACCTCCGCCTCCTGGGTTCAAGCGATTCTCCTTCCTCAGCCTCCTGAGTAGCTGGGATTACAGGTGCGCAGCACCACACCTGGCTAATTTTTTGTATTAGAAGTAGAGAAGGGGTTTCACCATGTTGGCCAGGCTGGTCTCAAACCCCTGGCCTCAAGTGATCCGCTTGCCTC